TTTTAAGTAATTATTCTTGGGTCAGCTAGGTGGCACAGTGGATAAAGCACCGGCCCTGGATTCAGGAGGACCTGAGTTCAAATGCGACCTCAGACACATAACACTTACTAGCTGTGTGACCTTGGGCAAGTCATTTAACCCCATTGCCTAGCCAAAAAAAAAAAAGAAAAAAAAGAATAATTATTCTTATTAAACATATGATAAGTTAGCTATTTCTAACTGCTGAAGGAATAGGCAGTACTTTCTAAAGTGGGAAAAGTCCTGCTGCCATACCTTAGTTACCACTCTGCCTAGACTGTCAGAAGTCTGAGGCTCAGCAAAATATTTCCTTGCAATATCCCTGACTTCACTTTGTTGTTCAGTAGTTTTTTCAGTCATGTCCAACTTTACATGACCCTATTTGGGGTTTTCTTGGCAAAGATGCTGGAGTAGTTTGCCATTTTCTTCTCCAGCTCATTTTACAGATGAAGAAACTGAGGCAAAACAGGGTTAAGTGACTTACCCAGGGTCACACAACTAGTCTGAAGTCTGATTTGAATTCAGGTCTTTCTGATTCTAGGCCTACCGCTCTATCTACTGAGCCACTTAGTTGCCTTGATTTCACTTCTAATTACATGTTAATTCAAACCCCTGTCTCCCATTTTTACTCAAGAAGGAGATATACTGTCTTCCAATTCTCAGTACCTCTTCCCTCTTCTTCACCTTCAAGTAAGTAAATGAATGTTGACTTAACCGATCACTGTGATAGGTCAATGATCTCTGTTTCAATTCCAGAACATTGTGTGAAACTCAAATTTTTTCAATCTGTAAACATGTAAAAATAGCTATTATTTAAAGGGGTCCTGTTATGAATTGTTCTGTAAAATGAATAATCACCCACCAATTTTTTTTATATAAATCCAGATTTTTGTGTTTCAGTCTAAAGTAAGCAGCCCATGTAGTACATTTTGGTATGTGCTCAAGAAGATAAAGACTGAAGTCTATAACCAATACCAACCTTATACAATATTCTGTATAAATTTAAAAGTAAGTAAAATTTGCTTTCATAGGTTCATTATTCCTTATCCACACACACCCTTTCTTATGTCAGTGATACCTGGTCCTCTGAGCCCCCTGGCTTCCATTTGTCCACATGCTCAACTTCCCCCTCAAGGACTGCTCTTGTCCTTCAGCTCTAATGAATATTAGTCTCAGGAAATAACCTCATGAACTAATTCATACAGAGGTATAAACCATTATTAGAGCCTAACTTTATTTTTTAAACTTTCTCAGGGAATATTTACAGGTTAACAAAGAACAAAGACTTTGTGTCAAAGGAATGAATCTCAAATAAGTGGAATTTTCAGTATCAGCAATCAGTAGAGGAAGTAATTTACTTTTTTGGGGGAGAGAGAGGGAGGAAGGTAGAGAGGTACAGACTATTTTTTTTCAGCTTTTTAGTGTGATTTTTTTTCCAGGGACACTGGTATAATTGATGATGCAATTTAAAATTAAGTGCCCTTAGTTACAAATTCTTAGTATTTGTGATCCATTTATGCATCCAGTTGAAGAGAGCCTTCCTCCTAAATACCTAAGACATAAGCTGAATGAAATGAAATAATTCTACTTACTGAGATTGTTTTTCCAATCTTGTTTTTGAATAGATTTTTATTAATATGTTTTGTTTTAATATGACCTAAATTCCTCCATATATCTTTCTCACTTCCTCTCCCAGAGCCATTCCTTATAACAAGAAATTTTTTTAAACAAAAGAAAAAAGAGGAAAAGAGAAAATTAAAAAGAAAGGAAAAAAATTAAAAAAAGAAAAGGAAAAAAATTAAGCAAAACCAATCAACACATCAAAAAAATCTGATGTTACATGTATCTTTCACACCAGAGGACTCTGACCTCTGCAACAGAGCAGGCTGAAACTCTTGTCACATCTTTTCTTAGGGACTTTATAATTTAGTGACATTCAGTTTCAATTTTTTTCCCCCATTTACATTGCAGCCATTGTGTGTATTGTTTACTGGCTTTGCTTACTTTGCTTATATCAGTTCATATTTTCCCATAATACTCTTTATTCATCCTGCTTCTAATTTCTCATAGGACAGTAATAACCAATTACTTCCATGTATCATAATTACAAATCTGTTTTGTAGAAATTAATATGATATTTGTGCCAGTGGGTAAGATCTTTGAGTCCATCTATTGGTCACGGTGGTAGATACAGGGCTATTCTATGAGGTACTAATCTGAGTAGCAGAAAGTCATTGGTGTTCTTTCAGAGAATACCAGAATGTTTAAGAAGGGACCTTAGAGCCCATCAAGGTGACCAGCTTCCTTATTTTACAGTTAAAGAAAGTGAGCCTCACACTTCCCAGTTGACAAATAGTCATGAATAGTTTTCAGAGGAAGAAATCCAAGCTATCAATAGCCATGTGAAAAAAAATGCTTTACTAATACAGATATGCAAATTAAAACAACTTTGAAGTACCACTTCACACTGCTCAAATTAGTTAAAATGACAAAATCAGAAAGTGACAAATGTGGGAGGGGATGTCTGAAAATAGGTACACCATAGCACTGTTTGTGGAACTGTGAAATAGTCTAGCCATTCTGGGAAATAATTTGGATCTACATTCAAAGGCCTATAAAACTATACATACCCTTTGACCCAGTGATACCACTACTAGGTCTGTATCCTAAAGAGATGAAAGAAATAAAAGCACCTTTACTTAGAAAAATATTTATAATAGCTTTTTTTTTTATGGCTAGGCAATGGGGTTAAGTGACTTGCCCAGGGTCACACAGCTAGTGAGTTTCAAATGTCTGAGGTGGGATTTGAACTCAGGTCCTCCTGACTCCAGGGCTGGTGCTCTATAGACTGCACCACTTAGCTGCCCCATGACAATTCTTTTTGTAGTGGTAAAGAATTGGAAACTGAGGGGATGCCCATCAATTGGGGAGTGGCTGAACAAGTTATGGTATGTGACTTTAATGGAATATTATTGTACTGGAAGAAATGATAATGGGAAGAGGGTTGCTGTCCTCAAGGAACTTATTCTTTCTTCACTAAACCTTAGACCAAGATTGGTGGTTTCTGCTGGGTTTTCCAGGGGAGAAAAGAGTCAGTCAATCAATAAGCATTTATTAAGTAGCTATTATATGCCAATCACTGTGCTAAGTTCTGGGGATACAAAGAAAGGAAAAAAAGAGTCCTCGTTTTTAAGTAACTCCCAGTGTAATTTTGTTGTTCAGTTGTGTCCCACTCTTTGTGATCCCATTTGGAGTTTTCTTGGCAAAGATGCTGTAGTGGTTTGCCATTTCCTTCTCCAGCTCACTTTACAGATGAGGAAACTGAGGCAAACAAGGTTAAGTGACTTGCCCAGGGTCACATAGCTAATAAGTGTCTGAGGCTGTTATATGAACTCAGGAAGATGAGTCTTCTTGACTTCAGGCTCTGTCCACTTTATCCACTGCATCACCTAGTTGCCTTCATATTGTCATAGGGGAGACAATATGCAAACAGATATAAACAAAATGATGATAAATAGGATAAATTGGAGATAATCAACAAAGGGAAAACATTAGCACTTTTTAAAGGGGATTGGTAAAGATACATGTATATATACATATATAAAATATACATAATAATATATATAATAAAATATACATAACAATATATACACATATATACATGCACACGTATATCTATACATATGAAATTTGGCAGAGGATGGGATTTTAGTTGGGACCTGAAGGAAGCCACTGAAGCTAGAGGACAGAGATGAAGACGGAGAAAATTCCAGCCTTCAGGGACAAGCCTAGAGTGAGGAGAAGGAGTCTTGTATGAGGAAAACAAGAAACACAGTGTCACTGTTTCATAGGGTAAGTGGAGAGGAGTAAGGTATAAGAAACTTGGAAAGGTAGGGAGGGGTGATGTTATGAAGAACTTTAAAGCCAAACAAGGATTTATATTTGATTCTGAAGGGAGCCGCTGGAGTTTATTGAACAGAGAAGTTACGTGGCCAGACTTCGGCTTTACTAAATTCAATTCGGCAGCTGCATGGAGGATGGATTGGAATGGGGAGGGGACCGATAATCCAGATGTGAGATGATAAGCACCTCAATAGGGTGGTGACAGTGTCAGATGAAAGACTCCCCTTTCTGAGTTCAAATCAGGCACGTGATACTCTCTAGCTGTGCGACCCTGGGCAAATCACTTAACTCTGTTTGCCTTAGTTTCTTCATCTGTAAAACGAGCTGGACAGCAACAATAACAAAATCATAACATAGAGATTTTCTAATCCATGGGAGCTAAAGAAATCACCGAGGGAAATAATATTAAGAGAGAAGAGAGGAGGTCCCACGACACCCAAAGTTAGGCTGGAGGAAAATTCAGCAGAGGAGAGAATCCTTTAAGATGAATTACTCTTTTAATCCCACCGAATTTCTCTCCTCTTCCCTTCATGCCCTCCTCCAACTTTGTTTCCCTCTCCTTCATAAAATTAAGAGCTAGAAGGATTATGAGAAATAGGGTTCCATGTGCCACGTGAACCTCGGACATTCTTGATGCCCAGGACCCATAGGACTTCTCTGTCTTTGAATTAGGTAAGGAAAGTGACCTGGGACCTTGGGAGAGATTTGCTTGGGGCTGACTTGGGTGGTAAAGGGTGGAGGGATGGAGGGCGTGTGCTGCTCGGTTATCCACCTCCCATCTGTGCTCAGAGGTGGTACTGAAAACATCCTGTTCAAACAAAAAGGCTTGCAAACTTCCAGCGCTGGCTAACAGGATGTGCAGATAAGCGTCTGCGCGTTTGAAGACCGGCTCGGTCAAGCCATCCCCTCCGCAAGCGCCCTCTCGCCTCTTCCCCGGGCTGTCCCCCAGCTAGCTCCCCTAGCCCCGCGCCTGGCTCTGCTTTCCCATTCCCCATCCCGTGCTCCGCCTCCCCGCCCTGCTGTTAGTGCCACATCACTGGCCGCGCCTGCAGAGCCCGCTCTCCGTCTGTAGAGGGAGGCTGGAGAGCCGCAGTTTAGCCGTGGGCTGGAGATGGAGGGAGAGTGGCGGGAAGAGGAGCCAATCAGAGAGCAGGGAGCAATCGTAGCCACCAATGAGCTTGGGCCGTTGCCAGCCGCGGCAGTCCGAGTCCTTGCCAGGGGTGCGGGCAAATGAAGCACATCTGGGCAGTTGCGCGGCGCGGCTTGAGGGCTGTTACATTTCCCCTTGGTTAGTTTCCAGCTCACTCTGCGTTCTCTCCCTCTGAACATTTAGTGACTTATTGCCTTCCCCAAAGAAGAAGTCGAGGACCCAGGCTGAAAACTTTTCCCAGAGAAATGGGACTAAGCACCTAATTTAATTTTCTTCAGGTTTTAAGAGCAACAAGAGCAGAATCAGCCCCATCAACAAAAGCCCAGCTATTGTCTGGTTTTAAATTGACTATAAAGACTGAGTCGTAAAGAAACTGACAAGTTAGGTAAGTTGTGTTTTTTTTGGGGGGGAGTGCGGGGGGGGTGTTGTTGCGTGCCTTGTGTATTGTGTTTCTAATGCTAATTTTTAGTTGTGAGTGGTGGCCGCTATCTTCTCACTAGCGCTTTCCCTGGTTGATGAAGGGGAGAAAAACGCTGCTTTGTGCCAGAAACTGCACAAACTTTCCCCCCCTTCCTTCTGTCTCTTCTTATTTGCTAATATCTTTTCCCTGTCCCCCACCCCACCCCTCACCTACACTCCTAATCCGCTTCCCCCCATGTTGGGAAGAAAGGCAGACGTTTTATTAGCATTTTGTAGTAAATGACCCCTAACTCTGAAGTTGGATGTACAGTACTTTTTTTTTCTTTTCTTTTTTTTTTTTTAAGCAGAGAATGAAACTTGTTCATTTAATTATACCTCTGCTGTCCTCTTCTTTTTAGGCTGTGATTCTCAGCACTTAGCACAGTGCCCGGAACATAGAAGGAGCTTGGTAAATGCTTGTTGACTGACTCATTGATGTAAATACATCAATCCTTTTGGAGGATTGAGGCAATTATAGAAATAGGATAGACACAATTTTTGCTTTAATTATCTGAATATTTTAGGTTAAAGCGCTTTAAACTTTAATCATTTAAATAATTGCTGTGATTTTCCACTACATTTCAGTGTAGATACAAGCCTGAAGATTTCCCCTACCCTGCTAATGTCACTATTTTAAATGCACACACATTTAATAGAAGAAAGTGCATATTGTTTATCAATATCCTTTTAAAAGTAGTTTAAATATGGGATGCTGTAAGATTAATGATTAAACTTGACTAGTAAATACTTATGATTGTACATATTCGTATTTAAATATTTAAGAAGGTATTAGGAATAGTTGGATGATTTGAACAAACTGAGGCTTGCCCTCTTTGAGACACCTAGAACCATAGGTTTTTTTTTTCTGTCTGTAATATTCAGTTTCTTATTTGGGATATTTTTTATATAATAGTCTAAGAAGTCTGATCTGTAATTTCTGAGTTAATTGAAGTAGGAGGGAATTTCTATACTTTGAAAGCATGTGTGTTTTTGTTACCCCCCCCCAAAAAAAAGGTAGACGAAAAGAATGAAGCAACTGAGATGGTCATCACTGATGCAGTTCAAGGAATAGATGTCACTGATGATCCCTCCTCAGCTGTCACTGTCACCTGGATATCCTTCTTGCAATTAAGTAATCACCACTGAAACCCATCCCTCCCTTTTTTGGGCTGCTGCATCCTTCTACTTTCTATTTTGTTTATTTGTTTGATTTTTTCCCCCCTTCTTTCCATCAGTAATTGAATGCTGGGAGGGGATGTAAAGGAGAGACTGGGCACTGAGTCAGCCCACTGAACTTTTTGCCAGTTGTCTCCTGGAAACTCCACCTAGTGACCTGTTTTCAAGGCAAGTTGCCCTGTGTACTTTGTGGAAACAATTCACAAAATATCAGCCCTGGAAGGGACCTTGGAGATAATCTAGTGGTTCAATACCCCATCATTCTTCTTTCTGGCCCTCCTCATGTGGTAAAAGAGAAATGTGGAGCCCAGTAACTTGGATAAGGTCATATGGTTAGAACTTGATTGAGTGGTGGTAAAGAAATAGCTTATTTAGCCCTATTTGAAAGATTCACATATTGGTATAATATTACTTTTAACCTTAATTTTTTCAATTACTTTAAAATATAATGTCATTTGAATTCTTTAAAATATACAGTTTCATTTAAAATAAGTTTCTATTTTGAACTCTCTTGTTTTTTCTAGTTGTAGTTCATGAACCTCCCCTCCTCCAAACCTTCCTGCTTCTCATCAATCATTCAGTAGAGTTAATTAGCAAAAGCATGCAGCATATCTAGCTTTGAATTACAATATTAGACGCCCATTTTGGCTGGTGTATAGTGTAAGTGGAAGGTGGTAATATGAGACAAGGTGGGGCATATAGCGTGGTGCTAGATTGTGGAGAGCATTGAAGGTCAGATATAGGAATTTGAACTTAGCAAATCATAGAGAGCTAATGAAGAGTTTTGAGCAGATGAATAATGTGTGAAAAGAGGGATAGTTATAATAATGATACTAATAGCTACCATTTTTATAGCACCTACTGTGTGCTAAGCACTGTGCCTAAGCACTTTACAAATATTATCTCATTTGATCCTTAAAGCTGCCTTGGGAAGTAGGTGCTATTATTATCTCCCCTTTACAGATGAGGAAACTGAGGCAAACAGAGGTTAAATGTCTTGCCCAGGTAGCATAGCTAGTAAATATTAGAGGCCAGATCTGAACTCAGGTCTTACTGACTCTAGGCCCAGCACTCTATCCACTGTGCGTTCCTCTCAATGCATATGGAAGAAACATTTGAAAGGGGTTGGAAGAACAGTTTGGAAGGGAAGAGAGCAGAGGTGGTAGGACTTGTTAGCAGGCTATTAGAATAAGCCAGTCAGGTAGTAATGAGACCCTGTACTAAAGTGATGCAGTGGTAACAGATGAAGGGATGGATGTGAGAAGTTGAACCTGTGGGTCTTGGTAACTGGTTGTCTATGTGAGGTGAGGGAGAAGGAAGGGAAAGGAAGAGGCAAAGTCACCCCCTCCCCCATCAGGGTCTGGTTTTTTTTTTTTTTGGTGAGGCAATTGATTGGGATTTAGTGACTTGCCCAGAATCACACAGCTAGTAAGTGTTATGTGTCTGAGGCCGGATTTGAATTCAGGTCCTCCTGACTCCAAGGCCAGTACTCTATCCACTGTGCCACCTTAGCTGCCCCATTCCATCAGGGTCTGAAACATTGGAGATAGTAAATAGTGGTGCCATAGATAGAAAATTGTGAAATCAAAAGGGAAATCAGGTTCAGGGGAAAAGATAGTGAGCTTATTCTTCGAGATGTTGCTGAGCTTGAGGTACTGGGCATTTGAGTGGTGCTGTCCTATAGGTAATTAGAGATTAAAGGCTTATAGATTTTAGAGCTAAACTAGAAGTCATCCTTTGTCTGAACCCAGGTTCCCAGTCTCTAAATCCAGTACTCTTTCATCAGTGCCAGATGTGGGCCTGGAGTTCAGAAGAGAGGTCAGAACTGGAGAGAAAGATTTGGGAGTCATCTGGACACTGAGTCATTTTGTGGGCAACAACAGCATTAGCAGTCATTTTATTAACTAATTAGGTACTTATGTTGCCCTAGGCATGTAAACACATTTGTTTAGATAACTTTCTTCCTGTTTCAGCACTCTGAGCTCATGCCAAGGCTTTCCTTGTGCACAGAAGCTGGTGGAGATGCCTCTCTACCACCATCACTTCTCAGGCTCAGGTCCTTGAGTGATACAGACCATTCTGTATGATAATGTTTAGAAAACGGCCCTCCTTGGCTGCCCTGGGACAATTATCTGCTATTTTCATTGGCTTAATTGACTTCTCCTTTCTGGCCAAAAAGTAACTGCAAGGAACCAAGTGGAGCTCTTTGGGAAGGCAAGGAAATGGGTAGCATATTTACTTGTTTCTGGTTTATAGGATCATAGAGTTAGAACTGGAAGGGAGCCCAGAAATCATCTAGTTCAACCCTCCCTGCCCCCAGGTTACATACGAGTAAACTGAGGCCCAGAGAAATGAAATGATTTGAATGAAGTCGTTCAAACCCAGGTCTCTCGTTATAAATCTGCATTTTTCTCCATTCTATCCATTCATTCAATAAATTGAGCGTCTTTTATGTTCAAGGCACTAATAAGGCAAAGACAAAAATTAAACAGCCCCTGCCCTCAAGGAGTTCATGTTCTGCTTTTGCACACTGATAATTGAGGGGAAAATATATGTATGTCTATGTGTGTATCTCCATCTCTCTCTCTTTTTTTTAAATATAAATTTGTTTCTTTTTATTTTTCAACATTCACTTCCACAAGTTTTTGAGTTCCAAATTTTCACCCCATCTCCCCCTCCCCCCACCCCAAGATGTCATACATTCTGAATATCCCTTCCCCTAGTCTGTCCTCTCTTCTTTCTATCTCTCTCTCCTTCTCTTATCCCCTTCCCCTTCTATTTTCCTGTAGGGCAGGACAGACTTCTGTACCCCATTTCCTATATTTCTTATTTCCCAATAGCATGTGAAAACATTTTTTTTTAAAAACATACGTTTTTAAAACTTTAGGTTTCAAATTTTCTGTCTTCCTCCCTCCCCACCCACCCTCATTGAAAAGGCAAGCAACTCAATATAGGTTGTACATGTGCAGTTATGCAAAACACTTCCATAGTAAACATGTGAAAAACTAACTCTATTTCCCTTAATCCTATCCTGCCCTCCCATTTATTCTATTCTTTCTTTTGACCCTGTCCCTCCTCAGAAGTATTTACTTCTGATTACTCCCTTTCCCAATCTGCCCTCTTCTCTATCATCCCCCTGTTCTCTTGTCCCCTTCTCCCCCTATTTTCCTGTAGGGTAAGACAGATTTCCGTACCCGTATCTCCATATCTCTACCAACAGTGTATTAATGTGCCTTTTCTCCTCACAGCCCCTCCAGTATTTGTCATTTTCCATTTTTGTCAATTTTGTCAATATGATAGTGGTACCTCAATGTATCTACTTTTCTTTCATACATACAAAGTAGTAGATGATAGGAGGGAATAGGGAGAGGACCGCAGACTCAGCAATTATGTAAAAATAGTGTTCATGGTTTTCAAAGAGCTTACAAGCCAAGCACGATTTCACTCTCAAAGTAATGGTTGTAAGTCTTATTATAACACTGAGTTTTCCTTCCTCCTGTATTCAGATTTAACTCAACTTCTAATGTTAAGAAAATGTTACTTTGGGGGGTCATACATAACTACAATAGTGAATGAATTGGATAGCAAAGTTTTCTCCTCTTAGTGTATACAAGGGATTCCCATCGTAGTACGAGGTGAGATAACCAGGTTATCTTCAGTGCTGAGTAATTTTCTTGGAGGAAGTCCGGTGCTAAGGTCTGTGCTTCTACTCCCTGTTAATGGTCTGGAAGAATTAATTAGGCCACTAGA